TCCATAATGAAGCCACCGTTAACGAGCGGTAGTTAATACCAGCCCAACATTAATCGCCACGTCTGTGCCGCGATACCGGCCCTGCAGAAGTCTCGTCCAGTGATCGTTATTGACTGGTACAGATCCCTTGGGTCGTAAGTGACATTTACACGATGCATTCAGCGTTAAACTTCCCCGGAGAGACGGCAGGGGTGTAGCACGTCGTATCTCGGTTCCAGTATCTATACGGACACGGGGTTCCCCTGACAACGAGACAACAACAAACGCCTAATGGCCAGTGCTCGACTCAAAGTTTAATTTCCTGACCAGAGGACACTGCTTAAAGTGACCTGCCCTTCGTCCTTCGCCTCCTTACTCATCGTTCTCCCTCATTATCCACGAAACTACGCGTCTTCCGGTTCCTCTTCCACCCCGTGTCACACGCCCTGCCCTCTCGACCTCTCATCGATCCTCCTGTTTGTTTAAACTTCACGACCACCTCACCCTGACTCTCCTGTCTATCCACAGAGACCTGACGTTGGTGTATTGGCTTCCAGGTGGTATTAAACAATAAGCAGCGATGACTAGGTCCTCCCGAGACGCATCTAATGCTAGTTACATTACAATTTAATCGATCCCTCGACGCTGAACAGAGAATTATGAGCATGCTCGATGGGAGCAATTTATTTCTCATTAGTGAAAATCGGCTTGTCAGGTGTAGCACGTATGTTCAGAATTTGTTGCGTGCTTCGGTTACCTCGGAGGGGATGGATTGCTGTGTGTTGGAATGTGGTTCCTTGGCTAGTGTGACACGCTATTTTTGGGAAAGACGTGAATGGGGATTAAGGTGGAAATAACTGTTCTATATGGTGAGTGTGAGATAGAAAAATTAATTTTGAATTAATTTTTGTAATAAAAATAAATTAGGGGTGGAAATTTGATTTCAAAAATTGTGGTGTAATTGCATCTAACACTGTGTTTCTATAAATTAGCCTATTAAATTGCCTAGATAAATTAATTAAATAAATTTAATATCGAAGTACAAATTTGTTATTTATAATTAATATGGAAATGTATATTTGGAATTTACTCGAAATTTAAAAGTTAGTATTATTTTAAATGAAAATTGAATTGATGCTGTTATAATTTTCTGCTTGATAAAGAACTTTATGGTTTGACATTAATTTGGAATGAAATATGCCTGTTGCTCAGTGTTGCTTTGCTGTTTTGGCTGATGGAAATTGAGTGTCATTTGTGTGGCAGGATGAGTAATGAAATGACTAGAGAAATTCTCATACTGAGATTTTATAAATGCAGAATAAGTTAATTTGAGGGAAGAATGTGGACACGAATTCATGATGTAGGATAGGAATCTATTAACCAATGTCTTAACAAGGACAGAGGACAAAAGATGATCGTGACCCATGTCAGAACTGTCTACTCCAAAATTCCCTATGAATACCTAATGAAGGAAACCTTTGTATTAGAATCTTTGAAATATTGAAATAACGATTAACCATTTATTATATAAATTCAGAAAATTTCCTATATGTATAGAGACCAAACACGAAAGACAGAAGATTTATTTTAAAAATTTAATTGTTGCAGTATTAATGAATCCAGTACTTTTGAAACATAATTATTAGTAATACATTTCGTAATATTAACTAAAATGAGAACATCATGATATATGTATATATAAAACCATATCGATTACTGCCACCTATATATTATATTCATACATATATATGTGCTAGTAAAAGTTATGATTTTCAAACTTCTGCATATTTCTTATTCCCTGAAAATTAAAAATACTAAAAATTGAAAATAATCTTTACACAAAATATTTAGAAAAATATATATATATATTATTTTTACTGCATTTTTAATTTTAATATATGTTCAATATATATTTCAACCCATAAAAAATATAGAAAAATTCATAAATAATTATTGTGGTTCTTTCTATTTATCAATAAGTATATCTATACTGTAGATATACACTGCAAATCACTATCTCCATTATCTAAAAGAATAAAAAGCATAAAAACCTAACCTCAACCCATAAAAAATATAGAAAAATTCATAAATAATTATTGTGGTTCTTTCTCTTCGTCGGTAAATATATCTATAATGTAGATATACACTGCAAATCACTATCTTCAGTGTCTAAAATAATAAAAAGCATAAAAACCTAACCTCAACCCATAAAAAATATAGAAAAATTCATAAATAATTATTGTGGTTCTTTCTCTTTATCAATAAGTATATCTATACTGTAGATATGCACTACAAATCACTATCTCTAGTGTGGAAAAGGATAAAAAGGAAATTCCTTATGAACACAAGGAACCATTTCCCCCCTATGTGGCACAATAATATTCGCCAGGTTAGTACGAAGATAGTGTCTAATAAAAGGCAATTTAATTGGAAGGCCGAGGAACAATGTACTCTGTACCGGACTTTGAACCCGGAAATCTTTGCTGTGCTCAGCGGGTATAGTTCCTGCACGAGATCCACGTGGTCGTGGCACTGACCCCTGTGAAGCAACCCCTCGTGGTATCTGACGTGCATGCACGGGAAAAAGTTTTGGGGTTGCCACGTATGTTTCTACCCCACTGTGCTCTCTCCCTACAATTCTTACGGGAGATAGTGCATAATGAAAAAAAAAACACACCGAGTCAGAAGACAGATGGTCACGATGCTCGGCCATATTATGCCCACGTTAAGAAACAGATTCTCGGGCTTCCGATGAAATTTATCGTCCAAAGTTGCACGCCATACTGCTTCCCGTGTTGTTGGCTTTAAACAAGACGTACTTAAGATATATGGCTGCTTCTAAACGAGACTAAAAGGCAGTCCTACTTTTTCGATTATGGAGCCTCAATTGGGCCCATTTAGGATCTGTAATTAATTTGTCGATGGGGGTTATTTCCTTCAATAGAAATGGAAAATAGATGAAGATTAATGTACAACTTCGTGACAAATATTAGTTTCATTCTTTAGCATTTAGTTCCAGAAAGTAATACAATTCTTTCGCCTTTGAAGTGGATAATATTCCGATATTAAAAATTTTGTTTCAAAAAAAGGAAAAAGAAAATTGAAAACATTCTTGAATTTCTTTGTGAACTAGCTTTATTCCACTTTCTCGTGATTATCGGTGGAAACAGAACCTAATAATAAATTTCACAACCGATAATAAATACTTCCACAAGATCATTCGCTATTTAAATCTTACCATCAGGAAATAATACTAAATTAATACTATAATCAACAATTTCCATTCCAAGATTATGTATATTGACAGAAAATTCAATATCCCATAACTCGATCAAACGATATCACTTTTCGTCGCAAAACCTGAGCAACGAAAATTCCAAGTCTCAAAAATTCGATAATTTTTATTTATTAAGCTAGGCATTAATTATTCACCGTTTTCCATGCATCATCCGAGTAATATAATTTTTATTACCACGAAAATAGAACCCAATGATTCGCATCTCGCCACCCCGTGTTGAGAACCCCTGCAGCATTCGAATCCGCACAGCCCTAACGCAGCACGTCCCAATACATTATCGTATCCATTATAGAATCCGATAACCGTCAAATTTCGTATAATCCGATCGAAATCTTCGATCGGAGGAATGGCTGAAGGGAGCAGGTAAACAAAATTCCCGCGAAGAGTTTCAGGGTAACGTATAAGGGTTGGCCGGGAAGGTTTCGGCAGTGAGAAAAAGGAGGATCCCGTGGACAGGCGGAGAAATAGAAGGAGAGGCCGACAGAATGGGGTTCGGTTGGTTGTATGGGAGAGAGGGAATCGGAGTACAGACCCGTGTCCCCCGCGTCATGAATCATGCATTCTCATCCCCTAGGAATGAACTAGAGCGCTCTGCGGTCGCGCGACCCGTCCGACAAATAAACAATGTTATTTGTTCTCTGGGATCTCGACCCATTCACAGTGGTCCAAAAGATTTCGCGAGGATGGTGCGGAAGGACGAGTGTCGGAGTTCCGCACTTTCGCAAACCAAAACGGCGAGAGAAAGGACGAGTGGAGATCCCTTTTCCCGGCCTTCGGTCCTCTGTCTCTCTCTGTCACCCTGGCCTGCGCTCGCAGTTTCTCTCTCGCTTGTTGTTCCTCGTCACCGTTTTCCATTCGCTACCTTTATTTTCTGACAATCGGACCTGTCAACGACAGAGATGCTGTTTAAACAAGAGCGAAGTGACGGAAGCTAGACGTGCCAGCGGGCTTTGTGCTCGCTTCGGGATGACAGGCACACCCTTTTACTTCATTTCCGCAGAATTTTTCGAGTGTCTTCGCGAATTAATCGTTTCGGGTTATTTGTCCGAACGGGGCTAAGGCGTTGTCATGTTGTACAACGTCGATTGTGCGAATTAATTGCCGGATAAACTCGTTTGGAAAAAGACGAACTTTGGATCGCTTGATAATTAGAATTGGGAATTAAATACGTTTTTAATTTCTTCATTTGAGAGACAAAATTGTTAACTTTTTATTGTTCATCGTGTCAATGATGACGATGTTGTTTAGGCACGAGCAAACTGACGAAAGCTAGATGTATTGCCCAGTTGTGTATTCGCGTAAGGATGACAAAGGTTCTAGGGGAATTTTTTGAGGGTGGTTCTGTAAATTGATCGTATCTGGTCGTTTGTTGGAAGAGGAATGAGGTATTGTCACGAGGGTCTGTGTAGAATATATTATTTGGGAGCAAGTGACATTTTTTGATACTTGCTTGGTCTGAGAATAATAACTTTAGTTCCATTTTTCTGTAATAAAAATATATATACTTTTTTTAGTGTCTTAGGGATAAAATTTTGATAAAGATTGGTTATATAATGATTTAGATTAAGGATATCGGTGTATTTATAACTGCAATTTTGTTTTTCGCTTCGACAGAAAATCGAAAATCAGAAATTACTGATATATTTTGTTCCGTATTTTATTTAAAATTAATAATTAATGTAGTATAGAAACTGAATTTACTATTATCCTTTTCTTGTTTCAGATGAACCGTCCTATCCAAGTCAAGCCGGCGGACAGTGAAAACCGCGGAGGTGAGAATAAGCAACCAAAAATGTCATCTCAAATTTTGATAATAAGTTCGAACTTGAAGCTAGAGGAAATACTTTTAGAAATATTTAAGATTCTAACCTAACCGAATCACTAATTTCTCACTTCTTTTAGCTTAGATTTAGTGTTAAGATTCTCGGAATATTTTCATTAACATCCAGTGTCGAAGTATAAATTCTTAAAACATATAAAGAAGAAACATAGGAAATATTTTCAAATTGCAGAAAATTTCGACATATTATAGATACCACGGTAATATTTCCCATATTTTTGAAAAGCAATTAAAATTTCACCGATAGAAATGACCATTGTGCATATCACTCCTAGAAACTACGACTCGTTCGCTTATGGTAGTTCAAAATACGTACGCCTACGTATATACGTATGTATATATATATGTATATAACAATGGCAGCGTTATCGATCAAAAGCTTCAATAAAAAATAACCGGTTTAATAGCGAGCAATGAAATATTTTGATCGAATTGGAAAGCATTCGCTATAACATGCAGTAATATACGTTGACAACCCATACGTAACTTTCAATCGAGCAAACACAAAAAAGCATGTCCTGATAAAAATTCGTTTCCATACACGGTATATCCGCATCGTTCTGGAGTTACGTACTATTCATTAATTTCACGGCATCGAAAATGGCACCGATATATCCGCTTCGACGTTCGATCTTTATGCTTCCGCGTCAGCTGAATTTCACAAATCCCGCCAACGAATTATCCAATCTAACGTATTCGAAAATAAGATAACAATTGGCTGCTTATCGGGTTTACACACGCTGGGTGTAGAATCAGCCACGAAGATAAAGCACAAACACGACGACACACGCGCCACAGGTGATCGTTGATACGTTTTCCTCGACGCCATATTTGTTCTTTCGCTCGCGCGAAACCTAACCTAACTTTTCGTCGCTGTACTCGGTACTGACATTTCCTAATGCGTTATTGATCGTGTCGTGAACTGGATCGTGTTTCAATTTCCAAATTTTTCAGGAACTTGTGAAATATTCGTGAATTTGCTTTAAGGAAATATCAATATTTTATTCAAGATGTGTCTTTATGGTGGCAGTTAGAATTATTTTCAACGTTCGAGACATAAAAAGTATCGATTCCTGTCTTTTCTCCTGAATACATAATAAATGCAATACGTTAATTTGTATCTCTCATCTTTAATATTTGAAAGTCAAAAAATGACAATTAATTTCGCTTTGGAAATTGAAAATGTGTTAAACGACGAGAAGTTTACTGTGATTATTTTTCACGTGCTTATGATTACGTTTATTGCTTCGATTTTAAAGTTAAATCAATTTTTGAATAATTGTTTTTCAATGAATTAGTATCTTTTGCAGTATTTTTGTTCTTATTGTTAAAATGTGTTAATGAATATAGCATTAAATTTATTTTTTAAATAATAAGTAGAGAATATTTGACTGGAAAATTCTGATTTTAATGAACGCGTTGATTATGTTTGTATTAAATATAGTTAATTCCCAAGATGAGTTCATTTTTGTTTTTTCTCGAGGAGAGGAAGGTAACATAAACATCATATAAACTTTAAGGAAAACACTGGCCCGGTCGAAAGAGCGCCGCCAGCACTGTGCTTCCGGTGTGGTCGAGGTCTCTAATGAAAAAGAAATGATTTTGTAGCAAGCAAACGTTTCTTGCTTTTATTCTGCAGAAGAAAGCTCTCCGCGAGTTGCTAACTCCGAATGAAATAAAATATACGTACAGATTTAAATTTATGAACGTAAATGTTGAACATTAGTTACCCTAAATTATTGACATTTGAAAATTTATATTTCTTCCCCGTGAAGTGAATTTTCGAGGAAACGAATTGTGCTTTGTTATGCGTTATGCAAAATTTCAATAAAATCAGAATTTTTTAGTCAAAAAGGTTTTCTCACTGGCAATTTTAAAATTAAAAAATACTTTGTTTGATATCAAGCAATAACTGCCATTTCCAATAACATATGATATTGAATTTCATAATATGAAATACATTATCACAATACCGATTGACATTAAACGTAGAAACAAGAAAATATTTATATTTTAATTAGAGGAACTCCGTTAAGTAAAATTTAACAATGAGCGAAATAAATATCGCCGTTACACTGCCTGAAACAATTTCCAGTTATTATTATTTTACGCAATATTTCTATTTATCGTATTCGTTCGGTAAAGAATATGAAAATTACATGGAATTAAATGAAAAATATAATTGGATCATAAAATGTACTCGCACGGTGAACAATAAATAATCGACGCGTTGAACCCCTCGGTGATAATACGTCGTATAAACTTTTAATCCACAAGAATATGATCATGCGAACAGATGATTGCAATTTTTGCAAAAGCGTATTACAGTTGCACACAAGCTCGTATTATAATTTCATAATTTTTGTAATTTCAGTTTGCATAATATTAGTACCTATTTATAATCATGAATGCTCAGGCGGGCATAAAATTTAATCAAACATATCCGTGCATGTGTGCCTCCCTTTCGACGAGAATTAAATAATTGATGTTTATGAAACAAATTAGAGGCGGTTAATTTCCACCAAACATCTCATCAACTTCGATCAATATTAACTTTCCTGACTTAAACGCATCTTTATATTTCAACAAATAATATTCAGTTCCTTCGAACAAACTGATCATCGAATATATTTCACAGGAAATTATCTTAGCAACAATGTCACTGTGACGTAAAGTCGATTTCTACATAAAACAATATGGCGTCGAACTAACCTCTCAATGACACAGAAATTCCCGAGTTTTACACACATACTAGATTTGAATCGGTATATTATTAAAAGAAAGGATAAAATTGTTGAAACCTATGTTTTCAAAGTCTATTTCGCCAATTATATATATCTATAAATCGATATAACGTCAAACTAACCTCTCTAGGATAATTGGAAGTCCTAATTTCTACATTCGCGTATTTGTAAATCAATATGACGTCGAACTAATCTCTCAATGCCACTGAAATCCCCGACTTTTCACACATATTGCATTTCAAACACTGAATTATTAAAAGAAAAGACAAAATTGTTGAAATCTACGTTTTCAAAACCTATTTCTTCACTTACATACTACGAAATCAATATGGCGTCGAACTAACTTCTCAATGACACTGAAATTCCCGAGTTTTACACACATACTACATTTTAATCGGTATATTATTAAAAGAAAGGATAAAATTGTTAAAACCTACGATTCCAAAATCTATTTTGCCATTTACATATTTATAAATCGATATGGCGTCAAACTAACCTCTCTAGGATAATTTGAAGTCCTGATTTCTATATTCACGTATTTGTAAATCAATATGGCGTCAAACTAACCTCTCAATGACACTGAAATTGCCGACTTTTACACACTTATCGCATTTCAAACACTGAATTATTAAAAGAAAGAACAAAATTGTTGAAATCTACGTTTCCATAGACTATTTCTTCACTTATATACCATGAAATCGATACGACGTGAAACTAACCTCTCTGCGACAGTGGAACCCATGAATTTTACATACGTGCCATTTTCAACCCAATAAAATCCTCTAATTAAAGCGAAAATTTGAGAAATCTGCTCATCAAAGACCATAAAAAATTAAATGAAAAATGACTGGTACTCTAATCGCAAATTTACGTCAATGTTACCATTTAAACGTGTTTCTATTCGTAGAGGAGACGCGACGAAATCCGTCGTGATATTCTCACGCATAATAGAATATTGCGAATAAGCGGTGCAAATATCGGTTCCGAGAATTCACGGAAACATGAACCCAAAGAACGTCGTGCCGGAGAGCAATTCGGTGAAGTTGGCGCTGGCCCTCGAAGTGGTTCGCTCAAACGGGTCTGAATAGGAACCGCGCACGAGGTAAATCGCGCAAAGGGCGGAAGAGGGCCGAGGAAGCTGCGAGAGGGATGGGTAAAGTGTACGCGAAGACGGAGAAAGAGGACAGCGAAAGGATGCAGTGTTCGTGGAGAGACACACCGAAGAAGGAAAGCGGGTTGGATAGCGACGCAGGGGTGAGGTGGTGGGGGTAGTAGATGAAGGGGGCCCGTAATTCATATGCTAATCTGGCGTAGATGCCATTGTAATCTCCGGTCGCCTGCCTCAGTGTGGCCCCACAAAGCCCCAGCTTGACGCGGATGCAAGAGGAGTGATCCAGAGCTCAACGCTGTCACTGCTTCTGCTGCCTCTGCTTCTGCCTTCGTCGTCTTACCGCGAGGTATACCTTACGTGCATCACGTATTCGCATAGTCGCAGACTTCGATCACAGTGTTGCCAAACTTCGTTAGCGCTGGTGATCCGTCTTTGCTCCTCGCCACGCCACCTATTAGCTGTGCTATACTTTTGTCCTCGCGTATCGACCTTTCTCTTCGTTTATATATAGCATCTGCTTCGGACTATGACTGCATTCGGGACAGATATCCGTTTGAGTATATTCGGGTACACATAGGCTGATTCGGTAGCTAGTGGACTCAAAGGCAATTCGGATGCCTAACATCGCAGCAGAGCTCTTTATGGGATAATGTGAGGAATGTGTGCTGCGACTACATCTGTGTGTGTACATGTGTGAGCTGTAGGGTTTCCAGTACTAAGGATCTGCGCTTAGACAGTACTGCCTTTGAGTCCACTTGCGAGTGAGTCACCCGGTATATGGTACAGTGCTACTTCGCTAGCTTCCTTGGCTAGGTCTGCAGAGCTGAGATGCATAACTGAAGGTTGCCAAGATTCTTACTTTCAAATCTTATTCCTAATTTTACTTAAATGTATGCACGTTTGAGACATATTAGAGAGAGCCTATGTGTTATGTTTAAAATAAAGTCAGTATGCTTACCTTTTGTACTGATTTTAGGTTTTCAAGACAGTAATGCTTTCGAAGCTTCTGCTATTTTTTCTCTTTTCAATTTTCATAAGTGTCTTGCAAGTCTTTGGATATATAGTGTTTTATTGGAT